TATCCAATAATATAAAATTGACCCCTAGTCTTTTGTAAAATACAGTCACATTTCAGTTATTATACATTGTATATGTATATACATTATTACTATTTACAAATAAGTTCTTAAACTTATTTCTCTTAAAATATGAAATAGTAAATAAAGAAGTAAAGTAAACAACTATCTATTCTAGTTAAGACCTTTGTACTAGGTTGCTGTTCGACGTAGGTTGCTAAGCTGTTAAAAATTTTGCATGTGGAGGATATGAAATGAAATAATATTTTAGGTTTTATATATATAGTTGAAAAATAAAAAAATCATAAATTACTATATTGATACCACAGAATTCCATTATAATTTATCAAGGTTAGTAACCAAGTTGTATTTAGGTCTAAAAACATATGAAATTTCAAGCAGACTAAAGACAACCTACCTCCTTGAAATATTGGTTCAGAATAAAGAGATGGAATCTCAACACATGAAAATGGCTGAGAAAGCCACTAGGGGGACATTCTGAGCTTTCAAATGATTATTCACATGTCAAATATTGATATATTGAAGTAAGTGTATATAAGTGACTGTTTCCAAAAATATAAAAAGGCGAGTGGGGGCAATATGTTTGATTCAGTACATGAGTGATATCTCAGCAAATACAGAAGATATGATGTTCTTATTTTATTTTCTAGCTTGTCAATATCAGTAATTTGAGTTACTAATTCATACAAAACTATAGACTTAGTATTTTGACATCACAAATATCTAAGTTGAACCAGTGCTGCATTCAAATACCACATGTTTAGGTGTTTCTTTAATATTTACTTTTAAATTAAGAAATTAAATAATATATAATACTACAATTTGAATTATAATCTACAGTTTGATACCAAACTTATTGACACAAATTCATGAAATAGTAGTTAAACAAAATTTTGAATAAGTCAATAAACATGATGACATGGTTTTTGACCTGTGACCTGTCTGGAGAGGGTTAAAAGACCACATGGCCATTAAAACTGAAAACAAGAAAGTCCCAAAGAAAAGTTCACAAAAAAATAATGGTAAACCAGCATTTGCTAAAAAAGTAAAATATGTAATTCCAGCCACAGTTTTGAAGCAAAGTCAGAGGTAGTTCCGGCATTTTGAATTAAAAGATTCAGCATTAACAGTGTTAACAAAGTATCACTAGCAGTTACGGTAAAAATAGAAGGTATTGAAGGGAGTTACATTCAAAATGTAATTAAACTACTTGTTGTTCATCTTATACCAATTAGTATAGCATAAAATTATAGCTAATAATCGATATTTTAATATATGATTTAAGTTCTTAATTTTATAAGGAAATATTGAAAAAAAAAAAAATCCTGAATTTCCTCTAGTGTAAGAAATATGACATCTTTTCTCGAGGCATCTTATCTTAATTTACCACCTCTCCAAGAAGTATAAAATTTAATGTAAATTACTCATTATAATGTTGTCATTGCTCAGGCAAAGTATAATTTTCATAGCCTTCAATCTTGTTTGGTTAAAGAGCCATAAAATATAAAATCAGACCCCTCTTGTCATACCTACACATCACATTCTCTGTTTCAGGATTTGTTAGTAGTTTTCTCTTACATTTAATACTATATTATTTATAACCAAAAGAAAGCCAAGGATTTCATCTATCAAATTACATATTATATCACACTGTTTTCTGAACAGGGAATTGTTAACTTCTCTTTTAGTATAAGCTTTGTTCCCATGGGAACTTATCTACTAGCTTGGATGAATTTGTAACGGCTCTTGTTACGTTGTTAAAAAGCCAAAAAAAAAGTGTTAGTTAGGACATTGTCTGCTTTTTGCATGCTACTATTCTATGTTCTTTGGTACATTACTTAATTAAATAAAAATAGGCTTAAGTGTCATTCATAATCGACAGCAAAAAGGAAAAAAAAAAAGTGTGTCCAGATATGTACTTTATTTCTTGTTTTTCATGTGTATTCTTTATTTATTATTATAAAAGTAACCAAAATGTTAAAGTAGAGCTCTTTAGGTTAGTTAAGCTTATATTAGGAAAAAAAATCATAACTTTTCACGAGGTATACATACAACCAGCTCAGAGTAGCTAGTGGATAATGTAATTCGATAGCATAGCATGCTCAAAGTGACTTAAAACTTATAATTAGTGTGAACATGGTTAGACATGGTTCAAATGGCAGTAAAATTTAAGTATAAATAGGTGTATACTGTTACAAGTTTAAAACTACTTAGGATAAATGTATATAGTTTCATGTTACAATTTGAAGTCATTCTAAAAAGAAAAAAAAGGCCGATTTAAATTTATTTAGATTTTTTTGGTGATTACAAGGTCAGTGAAATTGACCAACCTTGTATAGAGTTAGGGTAGAGAAAACAAGAGATAAAATACAAAGATTTACTTCAAAAAAAATAGTTTGAAATGCATTTACAAGGTTTTAGAGATTACACAAATAAAATGAGATTTTTGAGATGAAAATCACTTTGCACCCAGACTAGTAAAAATCAGATCTTTTTTTTTATATAAAAGACTTGTAATGTTTACTGAAAGTTTGCCATATTTTGTGAAGATACACATACTATATTAAAAGTTAGTAGTATCAAAACTATAACAAGTACAAATTGGCCATGTGGTCAGTCAATTTGACTGAGCACATGTTGAGAGTTAAAATGCTAAGCAAGTATACTCTTCAGATAGAAGTAGATGACTTAAAACTTGAACACTCATTTTATATCTGTAAGCAAATAGACAGATGTATTGATATATAGCGAGATACATTATAATTTTTTTTATTTATTTTATTTTTTTCAATTACACTAAGGGAGTATGTAAATAACAATGAAGCAATGTGACAAAAGGGAAAGTATAAAACAGTCTTGTAAGTTACTCCCGAGGATGACGTAGATCACGTCGAAACATGTAGTTGTAGAGTGATATTTTATAGTGGAAGCCGTACGGCTTCAATAAAGTTTTTATTGTGTAAATATAATTATTTAATATAATTTTAAACCCAAGTGCTGGTAGTGCATATTTAGTTAAATGTATATACAACAAATTCTTTACACTATAGAGATCATAGGCATATCAAACACTATAGTTTTCTTCTTGTCAAATGTCCACTTATGCCAACTCAATTGCTTTAGAATTTCAGCTGATAAGCTGACCTACTTTTCTCTATTACCATTGCCAAACTATCCGAGTATAGTTCACTTACTTTATCACAGAGTTACCATGGTTGTATCCCATACTTCTAAAATCCTCTGCTCCTTTTTCTCTCTGTATTTCCAAGAATCATCTGTCTATTTGTCAAAGCCCGCTGAGGCTAGTTCAATTACTTTAAAACTCTCTTTGGAATAAACTATTCTTCTTATCTCAACACCATTAGTCTCACTCTAATATATAACCGTTAGGCCTATAGTTAGGCCCTGATTAACTTTGATGATTAACTTTGCATTTAACTTTTCTTTGGCTGAATTCCTTCTCGTAACTTTACTTCTCATCTGCTCTGTCTACATTTCTCACTCATCTCACACTATTTATATGTTTATTACTTAATTGTCTGCTCACTATATCCTCGACATCAATAAATTTCATGCAACATTCAATAATCTCAACATCAATGAGTTATAAACACATTGTACAACTCTTACCAATTTACGTAACTAAATTTGTCATAACATTTACATAAAAATAATTACTTCTTACTTGTTGAGAACAAACTAAACAATCATAAAATATTCACTTACAAAATAAATTAATCAATAATATTGTTACGACAGCGGAAGTCACACAATGCTGGGAGTATGCGCACTGGATTTTCTCGAAGGATCATGAATTTCCTGACAACTCTAGTTTGTTTGAGGCAAGAAAAACCAGCGCGATTGAAGGGCATAGATAGATAGATCGAAGAGATAGATAACTGAGTCAAGCAAACA